CAATCCACCATATCTTACCCCACTGTGTGCCTCCCCTGAGAAGAATGATAACATTTAAGCCACAAAAATGCATTCGTATTCTTTAAAGGAAAAACGTCCCCACAACAAACAATAAAACGTTTAGCATTGTTGGCCAGCAAAAAAAAATACGGTTTCTTTGTAGACCGACCCATTGGGGAGCGCATCGTCATCATCATTTTAATAGTTCGCTCCTCTTTTGCTGTATAATTCTAAACGAGTTGTTGTTGTTGTTTTCGTTGTCGGATTAAAACGAAATAAAAAACATATGGTTAGCTAAAGGTTATGTCGCACGACAGCATTGCAAATGTTATGCCGAAGAGGCTAGAGACGGGTATTGTTGTTGTCGCCGCATTCAACAGAAGTGATATTAAAAGTGCCAGCAATAGCTGAACCTACCCATCGATCGATCTTTAAGACCAGCTATGTGCAAATTTATTGATTTACATTTTAAAATATGAAATTTTTTTTTCGGCAGAGAAGAAGAAGAAGTAGTGGATATAGAAGACGTTGTCGAAAATGTTTGAATTACTGCCTCAAAATCGTTCAAATGCATGGTTGTCTGTATGAATTGTGATGCTGATCTTAAAATATGTAAAGGACCTGACTAAATATTTCAGCTAATGGATGAGGTAGACATGCAATGGCTGTAGGCATTGCAAAACAGATGTACAAACTATGTAATGATGGCAGGGAACACTTAGAGAATTTGTCAATTATGGGATCTCAGATATAGATGTTGTCTATAGAGACTCGCTTCAGACAATGATTTTTTTAAAAAATATTTTTCAAGGGTCATAAGAAGGCCTGGATTTGTAAAACAATGTTTTCAAGGGTCACAAGAAGGCGCTGATTTTTAAAAATATGTTTTCAAGGGTCACAAGAAGGCGTGGATTTGTAAAAATATGTTTTCAAGGGTCACAAGAGGGCGCGGATTTTTAAAAATATGTTTTCAAGGGTCACAAGAAGGCGTGGATTTGTAAAAATATGTTTTCAGGGGTCACAAGAAGGCGCGGATTTGTAAAAATATGTTTTCAAGGGTCACAAGAGGGCGTGGATTTGTAAAAATAAGTTTTCAAGGGTCACAAGAAGAAAAGTATTTTTTTAAAAACCATATAGTCCTAAAGGCGTGCATTTTTAAAAATATTTTTTATTCAACTCGTCTATAAAGACTCCTTTCAGAACATATCATTCAACTAGTCTTTTAAGACACCCTTCATCTCGCTATGAAAGCCTCCCCCTGGGTGTCTATAAACTGAACAGCAGATCATCTATAGCAACTTCCTTAAGGACTCATACAAAGACTCCCCATACCTCTTCTATGGAGACTGACTTCAGCACGTCAATAAATATTCCCTTCAGGTATTCTAAAAAGACTCCCTACAGATCCTTCTATATTTTCGGTGTACACTACTCTAAAAAAGTATTGAAATTATCTATAATGAAATATAATAAGCCGACACTTTGAATGTCGCAGCCTTTGTCGAATATGAACAACGAACGAGGAGGAAGACATATACCAACTATTTACACGCCCCATCAACACCACCCCACCACCCTTAAGTACAGCTTGAAACGACATTTAAAAAATTATCTCACAGTAAGAGAACTGCCTATACAACAGTTGGCAACAATTGGTATTAGCGGGAGGGGCGAAAAGATGAACGGGAAACCATCTGCAACAAAGAAGTTGCGGCTTAGCCTAACTAACAGCCCATCATACTAACAAGTCAAAAAAAATTTCCGAATTGAAATAAAGGCCTTGTGCACGGCTTACACATGACAATAGCTGGCTGGCTAACTGCATAGCATAGTTAACTTAAAATAGAATGACGAATACACAACAAAGTTCGTAGCCAAATATTCGAAATTCACATAATTCAGAATGAACACCCAAAAAAACTATACAAAAAAGTTATTAACTAACTGACACCAGTTACAGCAACAATAACGACAACACCTCCGACAAAAATTGCAAATTGATTAGAAAATCATCTGAGAAAAAAATCTCACGATTTGACTATATCGGTCAAATAGATGCAACAGCAACCGTGAACACCAACAAAAAATTCCGAAAAATTTACTTTGTAGGAACGAACAAAAAAACCATACAAACGCCATAATGCAAAGACATAGATAATGTACGGAGATTATGGCACTAATTTCGTATTCATTTCAATTTTGAAGTTACTCTAATAATGAAATATTTATTTGGTGTTTTTTTTTTATTTCTATTCAATATCACAACAAACAAGATGTTATGTCAATCATTAAATTACTCAATTATAGAGTAATTATTCTTAACGAAGAATGGAAATAATTATTTTTATAACCAATTCTGATTGAGAAAAAAAAATAGGGTGGTACATAATTCAGGGCTGGGAAGAATTAAAAATTATGACGGGGTGAAAGGAATCGATTTAATCGATCTTAAGGGAGTCTTCATAGACGAGCTGAAGGGAGACTTCATAGACGAGCTGAAGGGAGACTTCATAGACGAGCTGAAGGGAGACTTCATAGACGAGCGGAAGGGAGTCTTCAAGGCGTGGATTCCTAAAGGTAAATGTCCCTATATATAATTTACCTAAAGGTAAATGTCCCTATATATCTTGCGATTTGCACGAAATTTGACACAGCGTAATGAATAAGGTCTAGAATGATGTGTGCAAAGTTTCGTGAAAATCGGTTCAGATTTAGATATAGCTCCCATGTATAGCTTCGCCCGATTTTAGGTAAATAATCCACTAAAGTCCCTGGAAATCTTTGAATTTGCACGAATTTTGGCATATTTGGTACTGAATGGCGTCTATAATACTGTGTGCTAAGTTTTGTGAAAATCAGTTCAGATTTAGATATAGCTCCCATATATATTTTCATCCGATTTTAGGTAATTGGTGCACTAAAGACCCTATATATCATTCGATTTGCACGAAATTTGGCATAGTGTATTGAACTGCGTCTATTATAATGTGTACTAAGTTTCGTGAAAATCGGTTCGGATTTATATATAGCTCCCATATATATTTTCGCCCGATTTTAGGTAATTGTTGCACCAAAGTCCCTGGAAATCTTTTCATTTGCACGAATTTTGACATAGCGTACTGAATTAAGTCTAGAATGATGTGTGCAAAATTTCATGAAAATCGGTTCAGATTTAGATATAGCTCCCATATATATTTTCATCCGATTTTAGGTAATTGGTGCACCAAAGTCTCTGTAAGTAATTCGATTTGGACAAAATTCGGCATAGCGTACTAAATTAAGTCTAGAATTATGTTGCTAAGCTTCGTGAAAAGATCCCAAGCTAGGCCGATTGACACAACGTACTGAAGTAATATAAATTAGTCTCTGACAAGTTTCCCTGAAATCGGTTCAGATATAGATATATAACAAAGACGTCTCGTCTGTTAGGATACATATGTAGAATATACCCAAAGTGGTGAAGGGTATCATATAGTCGGCCCAGTCCGACTTTCCCTACTGGTTAAAAATATGTATATTTATATAGGTCCTTAAAAATATGTTTCAACATTCACGCCTATATAGGTTCATAAAGAAATATTAAATATTTTAAACATTCACGCCTATGTAGGTCCGTAAAATTATTTTTAAAAATCCACGACTATGTAGGTCCTTAAAATTTTTTAAAACATTCACGCCTATGTAGGTCTTTAAAAAATTATTTTAAAAACCCCCCGACTATGTAGGTCCTTAAACATTATTTTTAAACATTCACGCCTATATAGGTTCTTAAAAAAATATTTTTTCAACATTCACCCCTATGTAGGTCCTTAAATTTTTTTTTTAAATCAACGTCTATGTAGGTCCTTAAAATTTTTTTTGAAAAACCCACGACTATGTAGGTCCATAAAAATTATTTTGAAAAATCCCCGCCTATATAGGTCCTTAAAAATGTTTTTGTTTTAAAATTTTTAAAAATTCACGCCTATATAGTTTCTATCGAAAAATTATAACAAATCCACACCTATGTCTGCAAAGTAACTGGATAGTATACCCAACCTAAATTCAACCTTACAGATCCAACCCAGTTCGTTAAACAGCAAAATTTTCGGAATTTTTTTTTTCTGAACTTCATTTAACACTCTCATCTCTGGCAATATCAATTTTAAATATCGAATTGAATTCATTTGAAAACGATATTGCAAATAACGTCAGCAACAATGCTAACAACAACAACAATGCCAACAACATTAAAATAAAAGCAGCTACTATGGATGCTGCTGTCGGTTCAGTTGTTGCTGGCGAATAATCCATTCATTCGTTCATTCATTCGGTGTTGTATTTCTCGAGCGATAAAAAGATAAGACATTGCAAAGGGTAAGCAAAACAAACAACAACAAAAATTATTTATACAATTTCAAACATGCAACATAGAACAACACCGAAATAAACAAAAACAACAAGTCGCAACGACAGACAGACAAACATTCAGCAATGACGATGATGATCCCTCCGCTAGAAATTTTGTTTTTTTTTTTTTGTGATGTGGAAAATGTTAAATGTTTTATTCTTTTCGGTTGTTGCCGATGATGATGATGTTGTTTTTTTGTTACGGATGCTGCCAGTAGTAGTAGCTTCTTGTTAGAGTAGAAGAAGAATACCTTTGAAGCTGCAACTGCATACGTTAGTATGATCGGTGTGTTTGCCCACGTTTGGCCATATCGTAGATTTTGCGCTTCGTAGACGACGAGATGATACGAGACGACTACTACCTTTGACCTATCGTGGCAAGGCATTCGTTGTTGTCGTCGTCGTAGTCGGCGATCCATTCATTCATCCAGTCAGCCAGTTAGTTAGAGAAGACGACATCACCAGAGATTTTGATGCGATTTTAAACAAGAGACGCCGCTAAAACGTTCAATTTTCATATAAAAGGCTCGTCTGACAAACAATTGGCTTCAGTTAACGGCGAATAGCGTTACAACGCTTATAAAGATCTCCCACACATCTATTTTGCTTTTAACGCGGAACCCATTTATCCTCTGACAAAACGGTCTCAGAATGTCGACACTATCTTGGAAGTTAGTCGCAATCGTATTGTGTGCGTATCTGTTGGTGGCACATGCGCGACCTCAGGCTCCTGAACAACCAGAACCGGTAAATGTGATAATTATTGAAAAAAAAAACACAAAAGAAAAAATAAATGATATTTGCCGCTATCCTCTAAAGAAGAAGAATTTGAATGACATTAAACAATAACAACAAAAACCAAGTGTGATCACTTCGTAAATGTCAATTAAATTCAAATAGCAATGCATAAAAATTCAAAAGAAAAATATATTTAATTGTGGATGGATATGGATTTGTTAAGTGGCTAAATAAACTTAAAGTGTAAAAATGTTCGGCAAAGTGAAACAATCATAATCCTGTAATTTCCAGGACAGAAAAAAATCTAAGGAAATTATTAAACAAATGGTCCTTATTGTAGGACCAGAAATGTAGAAATGATAAAATTTTATTTTAATTTAACAATGCCAAGATTCATTCCTTAAGGACACAAAACAAAATCTATTGAAATAATCCTTCTGTATAGTAAAAAATATTCTAAGAAATTAAAAACCCTTTTTCAACATTTCAGTTTTCATAGAAAAAATGTAATTAGTAATTAATATTATTTTTATTTTGAAATTCAAATCATTCCAGAACACAATTGAAATAATTCGAAAAACAATTTTAAATGGAATCGTTTTATTTTCAATTGAAATGTTTCGAATTACAATTTAATTACCTTGAATTACAAAAATGTTCAATATTTTCCAAACGAATTGGGAAATATGCTCTCTTATGGTCCTATTTCGTGTTGCCTTTCCAAACCGAAATTACGAATACATTTTTAAAGAAGAGCCATCATTTGTATGAGGGAGTCCCTTATTCTCGGTTTCAAAAAAAAATTATTTTTATTTAATTCGTACCTAAACTAATTCAATAATGTCCATAATCCAATCGTTTCAAATTTTAACACTTTATTCTGTACTTACATAGCTATCGTATGAACTAGGATAAGTATAATCGGTCAATATCTTAAATATTTTCTAATCTGGTTCGTGGTCAAAAAAAAATGGAATTTAAAAAAATCAAATTTCGTAGGTCCGTCATTTTGTTATTTTTGTGGTGCTATGTTAATCTTAGATCGTATCTGAGCCAGATGTGTACTCTTTCGAATGCCGTTGGATTTTTTTGATTTGGACGTTCAAGTGATCGGAAATCATGCCCGTCGTCGTAAAGAAGAACTTTCCTTCCCCTTCTGCGTGAACCATCACTTTAATCGCTTTTTGAGCTGAGGCATCTTCATCCATTCTCACAAGATGACCTAGCCAACGTAGTCGCTGCAGCTCGATCCGTCTGACTATGTCGATGTCCGAGAATAGATGGTTCATTCGACGACGATATTCCCCATCGACGCAGATCAGTCCATAGATCTTCCGGAGAATTTTTCTCTCAAACCCTCCAAAAGCTGTCTCATATGCTTGCCCAAGTACCCATGCTTCAGACCCATACAACAGCAGGGGTAATATCAGCGTCTTGTAGAGTGTGAGTTTGGTCTGGCGAGAGGTGACCTTGCTTTTGAGTTGCTTACTCAGACCATAGTAACATCCATTGGCCAACACTATTCTCCTCCGGATTTCAAAGTTGATATTATTAGTTTTGCGCGCTTGGCCTTTTCGCCAATTCATTCAAAGGTGGATGTTACCGCTCGCAATGTTCGACCCATTATTTCGATGTCGTCGGCGTAGGCGAATAACATATGCTGTTTGGTGTACAGAGTGCCATTTCTGTTCACATTTGCATATTTCTCGTATGACCTTTTCCAGCAAGATGTTAAAAAGGTCACCTCTGAACGGATAATACTGTCGAATGCGGCTTTATAGTCGACGAATAGTCGGTATATGTCGATGTGTTTTTCGTGGGTACATTGAAATGCATGAATCTGGTGTTGCTAACTACCATGTTTTTTGCATCCCTTCCAATCCATGGGTCCACCATAAATTAGTGGTTAAAGCCAAATTTAAATACCATCAGTACAACAGTTATTTTATCAGTACTCATATGAAAGAAATAATCTATGTTTTCTTTTCGAACGCGCTTCCTATAAAAGCATGACCTTATAAGAACAATCCCTGTTTATTTAGTTAAACATTTTCTCTCTTTACCTTCTTTCGGCAAGTATCTATGACGAGGCAGAACACACAATCCCATATTTTAATCATCTGAATTTAATTATTTATGGTTGCATTTTTCGCCCGTTTTCAAACTGTAAACAAATTTGTTTAACAAATTAATTAACTAGCTGCTACTAACTGTTGCGCCACACAATTCGGTTAGAGTAAATAAACAGCAAACATGCATTCGCGCCAACATTAGAATAGAAAAACAATAACAAATTTGAAGGTATTTAATTTTGAAGTGTTCACACGATAATCATTGATTAATTATTTTTAAGTAGACAAGTTGACAGGCCCGGTAAGCCTTCCTGCCTTTCTAATTGGGCATCAGTTTTAGTCAATAACCAAATTACTATGTAAATTTAGCAGTTGTCGTATTTATTCTACATTATAAATATTATATGAAGGGAAAATATGTCAAACTATGTGATATGTTGAAATAATCGTGTATTCAGATTTTAAAAAATCACGTTGATTTTTATTGGTTAGTGATGGAATATTAATTTAAAATTACTCATGGGTTCAAACTATGACAACAACCATATTTGTATTAATAGTGTTGTCCCATGTTTGATATGAGGTTCGTTTCGACTATAAGACGGATCAATGATGATGTTCGCTTTGCAAAAATTAATCATTTCCACTAAAAATTCTATAATAATAACAAAATATGTGATATCATCTTAGATTTAATATTACAACAATGAAAACAACTAACAAATCGAACCCTTCACTTATGCCAAATTCTGGACATACATCTTATTCTCTGAAAAAGCAATTTATAGACACTGAGGTTAGAAAATTAGACTTATAACTACATCGCTTGTAAAATGCACTTTAGTCTCTAAAAATAACTAAACATGGGCACCTATTATTTTTTTCCTGCGATGTAGACATATAGCATCTATAGACCCGGAATGCAAAATTGCAGCCACTTGGCTTTGAAAATGCGCATACGTTCATAAAAATACATGAAACACGACAAGATCTTTATATGAATTACTAGCAAATTGTATGAATTTCCAAAACTACATCCATACCCCTATCCAACACTCCAACAATAACCCTATTTCCAAATTTCAGCATTCCAGCTCTATCGATTCATCTAAATCCACATTTGGTACCATGTTGTACATACACATAAGTACGAATTTCCAAAACATTCTACAAAAACCAATCCTACCCAACAGTGACCCTAATGTCAAATTGCAAGATTAAAAATCCAAATTTGGTACCATTTAGTACAAATTAGTACGAATTTCCAAAACTTTTTGCATAGCCCAATCCTACACACCAACAGTGGATGGAGCTGGAATCCAAATTTCAGGACCCCAGCTCCATCAGTTCTCTCAAATTTCAAATTGTATCGGTTCATCTAAATCCACATTTGGTACCATTTTTGGTACCCCAATCCTTCACCCCAACAATGATTCAACTCCAAATGTCAAGATTCCAGCTCTATCGTTTCACCCAAATTCAAATTTGGTACCATATAGTACACATTAGTACGAATTTCCAAAACTTCCTACATCGGTTCATTCAAAATTTAAATTGTTCCAAATTTAGTTCACTTTAGTAGGAATTTCCAAAACTTCCAAAATAGCTCATTTCATTTCCAGTTTTTAGCTCATTCCATTCAAATGCTACGAATAGTACTTTTCGGATACTTATAAGTCGAATTTCCAAAAAAATACAAATTTAAGAGTTCGAACGGGAATACTATTTTCTTGAAAAAATCTGGATATAATAGTTGGTTAAAATATTGGCGCCAAATGTGTTTCACGCAATTTTTTTCATATTTTCCCCATGGAAATTTATTCCTGCTGAACTTCTTACATCATCATATTCAAACTAATTGTATTTATTTTATTATTATTTTTTTTCATTTCCTCATTTCAGTATGAATATCAATACGAGGTTAAAGATCCCGAAAAGGAATTATTTTTCAATAAAAATGAGGCTGGTGATGCTCAAGGAAAGGTAATACTTTATTCATACCAACGACAAAACAATACAATAATGACATCTATTGTCTACACACACACAAATTAAACTGACACCTTTTTTCCATCTCTTCTCCATTTCATGACCTCTCAACCCGACTACATTGTAAATCGAAATGCCGGCAAATATTATTATCACACACAAAAAGGTAAATGGACAATATGCCGTCTGGTTGCCCGATGGAAGATTAATGACTGTGGCCTATACTGTGGATGGTGAAAATGGTTTCGTACCCAAGATCACTTTTGATACCAACAATCCCTTGGGTTAAATTTAGTAGACAACTACTGAAAAGAAAACAAAAAATAGCCACGACTCACAAACAAAAAAATAGATAACAAGCCAGTAATCCAATTCATTTAAATAATTGTGTTACAGTTTTTAATTTTCTTTATTCATTTATTTTGATTTTTCGTGATGAAATTGACCAAATTTTCTATTGGATTGCTGGCTTCCTGGTTAAAAAACACAAAAAAATAGCGCAAATTATATACAATGTTTTAACAGAAAAAATATATATTACATATTAAACCTATATATATAATAAAAAGTATAAATGTATTTTAGAATATATAAAACAAACCAGCACAGCAACACACACTTGTTATAGAGGATAAGGTATGGGGCGTCGGAATTCCAGCACGAGTTCCAGCCTATACAATATTTTTTTATTTTATTTTTGTTTTACTGTAGCAATGACAGTTCATCGTTTCTTCTTAGTTGGACTTATGGATGAAGAATTCGGTTATAGCTCTTTTTTCTCTTTTCCAAGTGTCTGTTCTGTTTCTTTGAGACACACACACACCACACAACCCTTTCCAACACACTTTGCCAATATTTGTTTAACCCACTTTAGATTAATTGTATTCTTCGTTTTTTGTTTGGTCTTCTTAACACAGCAGATAGATACTCATCAACAAACAAAATATATTTTTGTTTGTATTGTTTATTTTTTCGTTTCTTCATTTGTTTAAGTTAATTTTTTTTTCAATTTTATTTTGTTTAACATTATTGTTTTTTTTTTATTATTTTTGTTTGTTAGTATGTTGTAGAGTGTATTGAATGGGTGATGTTTTCATTAGCCAGAACTTCAGAACATCCATTCACTCGCTATGTATAAAGAGTCATCTAATACTTCTTGACATATACATATGTATATACTACCAGTTGCACATGTATCTTTGTTATTTGTATTGTAATGTTTATTATTTTTTTGTTTTTGTTTATCACAGTACCAACTTCTTCTTTGTCTTTTGTATAATTATTATTTCGAAAATCGTATATTGTATTTTCGAATATTATTACTTTTTTGTTCGTTTTTTCTTTTATATATGAAATGTAACTCGAATATTTATTTTATATTCTGGCATAATGTATGTGTATGTATAATAAATAAATACAAAAATGTATATCCATTAATTCAAAATGAGTTTTAAATTTATTAAAGACAATACTATGGCGACAAAAAATGGGTTTATTGAACAGGATCCGTATTATAACCCAATGGTTTGTTTTCGAAATAACAAATAATGGTGGTACCGCTTTATGGGGGTTATACCAAAAACTACAATTAGAACCAAAATATGAAATTTTACCCTATTCGTTTGAAAAACGTATTAAAATACGAAGGTACCATTATATGGGAGCTATACTAAAACGAAGAGAGAAAATCCAAAATATGACATTATAGGCAATTTGGTTAAAAAACATACCTAAAAATATTGACCCGAAAATTGGGTCAATATTGATTTTTATAGAATGACTTACTACCCAATGGAAAATATAAAAATAATTTGAAAAAAGTGCTCAAAATACAGATAAATTGGGATGTATCGCTATTGAGGACCACCCTAAAACATGGACCAATACAAATATTTTTTGGTAGAAAGGTTTGACACCCAATGAAAACCCTAAATATGAAATTATAGGCAATTCGGTTGAAAAGCGTACCGAAAAAAATATCGAAACATGGGTCAATATTGTTTTTTGTAGAATGATTTACTACCCAATGAGAATACCAAATATAAAATTAAATTGAAAAAAAGTACCCAAAATACAAAACAATTGAGAACAATTGAGACCACCCTAAAACATGGTCCAATACTAATATTTTTTGGTTGAATGAAAACCTCGAAATATTGAAAACTTTAGCATATGTCCGCTACTTCGTTAGCGAATATGAGAATTATTTAAACAATTATTATACCCTCCACCATAGTATGGAGGATATATTTATCTTGTCATTCGGTTTGTAACTCATCGAAATATTCATTTCCAACCCTATGAAGTATATATTCTTGATCAGGGTATAATTCTAAGACGATCTAACTATGTCCGTCCGTCTGTTGTAATCACGCTATCTTCTGAAGGAATTTAGATAGATCGCCAGATGCTTAGAGTCGTCTTTCTTCTGCATGCAGATCAAGTCCGAAGATGATATATCGGTCTATAGTCCCCATATAAGTATACCGCCCAATTTTCAATATTTTGGGGTTCTTGAGCGCGTTTTTCAACCGAATTCGCTGAAATTTGGTACATTGGTTTCTTTTTCGGTACCAAATGTCTCCATTACACATTATAAAAATCGATCGAATAATAAATATAGGACAATTTTTTCGGGTAGCCCGCATATAAGACACCCTCAATTTTCGGTATTTTGGGGTTCTTGAGCGCGTTTTGAACCGAATTCGCTGTAATTTGGTATTTTGTAGTCGCATATGGTAACAAATCTTCCTACCAAATTTTTTTAATATTCGCGCCCTTTTTAGTGCTAGTTCCGTGTGTAGGATTTGTCCCCAGCATTTATGCATCTCCCCCATATAATTATACCTCCTGAAGGAAAGAATTGAGACACAAAACAAAAATATTGGGTTCGAAATCTATCTTTGCATTATTAGTATCAGTCCACGCTTTGGGGTTTTCATTAAAAATTGCTGAAATTTGTATTTGGTGTACATTAAGGTTTACATGAACCGGTTTGTAGAGTTTGTTGTAAGGTCAACTGTTATTGCATGCTCTTAAAACGAGAGGTCGATATCTTTTAACAATACCTAGATGACGGTGGTATCGATTTATTTAGGTTTGCTCCGGCTCTTCTCAGTCGGCACTCTCAGCGGTGTGCATAACAGAGACAACAAGAAATTGAGTTACTAATGTAAAATAAAAATTCAAAAAAAAAAAAAAAAGATATAAATTGTTGTTGCGTTATTTTCCAGACAGCGTTGTTTTCTGGTATCCAGATGTCATTGGATACCTTTATCGCCCACCCTATGGATTCCTGTATGAATCCCCTTTTTGGGCTCCCACCATGGTGAGATGCCCCCAATACCTATATCGACTTCACCTTAGTTTACATTATCCCCTTATATAGTTGATTAAAACATATTGTTATGTTTAATTATTTTCATATTTTTTTTTAATTCATAAATTCTTTTCATATTTATTTTCTTTGATATAATAACATTAGATCGTATAATAATACATAATATTATATACTACATAATGATAATAAAAAATAATCTGAAATCTATTTACTTGGGTGTCAATCGACAATGTCAATAATGGAAGTACATACAAATTTGAATTACATTGGTATGTTCATCCCAATTCAAGTACCACTGTGCACTATATTGTATACTAGAGGATATATATATATATATATATATATATTTATAAAGGATATATTTATAACCTATCGAGCTCAATGGTGTAATTATTTATCCTTAAATTGTTCAAATAAAATTGTATACGAATAGGGATAAACATTTGACAAAATTATAATTTCGAAGAAAATATTTTTATAAAAATTTAAATCCAGACTAATAACTATATAAATATATATAGGGGTTAATATTTAATATTTAAATTCAAAATGTTCACAAATTATATAAATTCAATCATTCAGATTGAATATGTATGTACGTTTATATATGTATGAGTGTATGCATGTATATTACAAATGTATGCTCATATATACATACACCTATAATAACTGTACATATATACAACGTTTATTATATATCATTATATAATTATATTTATTTCTTTTTTTTGTATTATATACTATTATGTATTATATATTTTTTTTTATGTGTGTATATATATTAATATATATACTATATATATGTATGTATATTAGGTACGATACTATACGAGGGTATATATATATAATTTATAAAATAGATATATCTAATATATATATAGAAATATAAGTATGCAATTACAACTAAATTTGCTTTATAACACGAAAGAGTATTCAATTTTGACATTAACTTGATTTGACAGATTTAATTTTGATGTAATTCTAATGAATTTGGAGAAGACAAAGAAAACGGTGGAATTTCGTGTACAAAATGGCGGGAATTCTCACTTTTATAAATGTTATTTTCAAGTCAAAACAATTTAGTATTTTAGGAGTGTATTTGATCATTTAAATTTATGATGGTTTTGTTCCAAAACTCGGCTGACCGTCGAGTAACAAATAAAAAAAAAATGTGGCCCCTAACCTCCCGGTCTGTGACTGGTCGGATAGGGTACCAAACGAGGACAAAAAATATAAGTTGACGCAAACTGTCACTTTTCCAGGTGTGTACTTACAGTTGGGGAATCGATACCAAACCTTTACTGTAAGAGTGACTTGTCTGATGGAAGGTATTCGTTGATGCCGATGGTGGTTCTGACGATGGCTTCGTATATGATGAAGTCCCAAAAATTGTGTGTGGCGTTCAAAAAAAAATTGTCCAAAGAAATTTTAATGTCGCCTTCGGTGTGGTTATACCAATGCCAAAAGGAAAAAAATAATGACGGCAACAGTTGGTTTTCGGTGTGGTAATTTTCCACTGTATACCACAGGAGGGTAATAGAATTCCTGGGCCGGGATAAGCACGTGGCACTCTAGGTACACCAGATACCGTTAAGGCAACCGTTATAACTACCGCTCCAAAAAAAAATCTCTGGAAAAAAAAACACTTCTATACAAACTCGCTAATTTACATTGGTGTGTAAGTTTCACCAAAACCTACCCACAAAACCGCTTACTTTCCGCAAAAGTAGTTTATTCCAACAGGAGGGATAAGAAAAAAAAAAAAATAACACTCCACTTCCAATTATTTAATAGGACTTTGCACCGGTATATAACTTTGCACTGTAGAATTTGTTGTTGTGGTCTGCCGCTACGTCTTACTATTTCGAATTACACTTTTAGAATGACGCCAAAATGGCAATCGGTGCGAAAAGGAAAAATGAGTAAGGGCACCTTAGTCCGAAACTTGCATAAGAA